ATGGGTTTACAAATTAAGTAATTTTGGACTATTTTTATATAGAAAAAATTATACTATTTGAAATTAAAAATTCTCTTTAAAAACAATATATGAGAATTTTTTTGAATTTTTCTTAAATAAGAGTATTGCCTAAAATTATGTAAAATAAAGAGTAAAAAAACTAATTTTCACCGGGAGTGGTACTATTAATGAATAGAGTAGTTTGTAAGTAACTTGTAAATTACTCACGTTAAACTCAACTCAAGTTCGATTTATTTAGTAAATAAGTTGAGTTCAAGCGTAATATATTGAGCTCTATAAAATAGTTTGAGTTTGAACTTCTATAATTACTCGTGAGTTATATATGAGTATTTGGTTTAGAATTAAAAATTATATTATATATTTATTTTTTAAATTTAAATATATAATAACTTGAAAACTTTATAATGTTAAAAAGGTAATTTAAATAAATTATATAAAAAAATTAAAATATAGTTTAATTATGGTTTTTTGTTGTTGGACTTAATATATTTAAGCTTTTTGTACTATAATATTTTGTAAACAATGTAGAAAATTTTATAGTTAAATAATTAGTTATTAAAATATTTTGAAATTATAGAGTTAAAAGTTCATATCAATTTAAGCTCCCAAACAAATTCAAACTCACTTGAGTCCTCACGAGCTTGAGCACAAGTTCAACTATTTTAACCTCAACAAATATTTGAACTCAACTCAAGCTTGAATTTTTAAAGTGAACTGGAGCACTAGTAACTAAGTATTTAACTTGATTCATTGATAATTTTAAACAAAATTAAAGATGGTGAGATGTTTCTCTATTGACATATGAAATTTTATATATAAATATAAAAAATTATCTTTTATAGGCTAGTGACGTGCCCTTAAATCTTTAACTATGGCTCCAACGAATAGGAAACATTCTACATCAGAACTAGCTAGCCTGATTGCATGCAGGCAATCTGATTCCAGCATCACCTCCTGATAGCAAATTATCTTCGCAATTGCAGACAAACTATTAGAGCTCAGTTGGACTTTTCCGCCAGTAGAACCGAACTATAAAAAAGCAGTCTTGTATCCTTTTTAACTCCTTTTGTAAATTGCGAGTTTTATCATAGATACATTTCCAAACTTGTTGAAACTCCAGTCATTTAGCATAGATCCATATTTACCAATTAATCCAATTTATCACCTTGTCCATCTATTAGATCCCTCAGCATCTGTCCTCCCTTGACGAATGATTTCCTCACACTCCTCTTTTTGCTAGGAATTCTCAAATCGAGAGGATTTTACCATTG